CTGGGAGTTGTGGTCCCTGGGTCAGCTTGAGGCGCGGGCCGCACTGCATGTTTGGGATTGCCGCAAGTAAATCTGTGCTTTTAGCTTCTTCAGGAAGAGTTGTTTTTACTTCTGTTGTATGCGGGTTTATTTTTCTGGTGTTTAATCATCTCACAATTATTGGTATATACAGTATCATAACTCGTTTCTATTAAGAGTGTCTGTTTTATATTACACTGAGCTGTTCTGAAAACAAAATTGACAGTTTATAATAGTGGATACTCATTGGTAAAGTTCACTGCCTGTCTTTGAGGTTGCTTTGTGTGTATTTTCATGGCAAGGACAACTACTGGGTTTTCTCATTTGTGCAGGGTTCAAAGCTGGAAATACCTCTGTGGCTTGCTAAAGGTCTACGTGACAGCAAAAGAAGAATTGTTTCTGTGGAACTGCCAAAGATTTACAAGGAAGCCTGGAGGACGGTATTCAGCGCTGATGCCAATGTGGTTGATCTGCATAAAATGGGGCCGTACTACTATGGATTTGGTTCCCAGCTTCTGAATTTTGACAATCCAGAGAATCCTGAGATAGCTCAGACTATCCTGCAGGCAAGTGTCTGAACTAAGTGTTGAAATTTGGGGTTTCTCCCTCTTCTTCTTGTTAACAGCTGCTCAACAGTCTTCAGGGAAAAAATCCCCCTTAATTTGGACTAAAACAGTCCAAATGACTTCTGGACTGAATATGGATTTTTAGGTCAAGCTGTAGGATGAACCTTTCGACAACCACACAGTCTAGCAGTGGAAGCTCAAGTAGGCATCCAGGAGTGTAATTTTAGTTTGGGAGTTTCCACGCTGCAAGTATGGTCTTTCATAAAATCCTGTAAAACAGGACAGAGGAGATGTAAGATTATATAATTATGCTCATGCTGCAAGGCAGAATTAATTCATCCTCTGTTGTATCTGTATTTCAACACTTTTTAAAGCTCTGTGATGCTGAGACTTCACACTGCTCTTGGCAGTCGGTTTCGGTGCTTTGCCATCTTAATCTTGGGTTTCCTCTAACATCTAAACTAAAGCCCCTTTGCAGCAATGCAAACTCGGTTCTGTCTCATGCAAAGTAAAGTCTGAGGGTGAATTATTCTCTTCCTTCCTGCAGCAGTCCCAGTTCTTTTGGTATCTGTGGGTCATGCTTTCTAACCTTTGATTGTCCTTACTGTAAACTGCTGATATCTTTCCAGTTGATCTGCATCCACTGTGACATGCAGTGCACTGAACAGCATACAGCCTCTTGCTCAAGACTTGTGCTGATGAAGACAGAAAGATTACTTTGTGAGATTTGCAGGCCATGATGCTGTCTGCTCATCATAGAATAGAATCATCAGGGTTGGAAAAGACCTCCAAGATCATCAAGTCCAACCATCAACCCAACACTACCATGACCACTAAACGATATCCCCAAGTGCCACATCTACACATTTTTTGAACCCCTCCAGGGCTGGGGACTCCCCCACCTCCCTGGGTAGCCTGGGCCAATAATTCACCACTCTAGCAGGAGAGAGATTCTTTCTCATATCTAATCAAAACCTTCCCTGGCACAACTTAAGCCCATTGTCTCTCTTGCTGTTGATGGTTACTTGGGAGAAGAGAACAACCCCACCTCACTTCAACCTCCTTTCAGGGAGCTGTAGAGAGCCAGGTGTCCACTCAGCCTTCTCCAGACTAAACACCCCCAGGTCCCTCAGCCACTCCTCACAAGCCATGTTCCCCAGAGCCCTCACCAGCTTCGTTGCCCTTCTATGGACTCATTGCAACCCCTCAAGTTCTTTCTTCTCCTGTGGTGCCCAAAACTGACCCCAGTGTTCAAACTGGCCTCCCCAGTGCTGAGTCCAGGGGCACCATCACTCCCCTACTCCTGCTGGACATGGTATTTTAGATCTGGGCCAGGATGCTGGTGGCTTTCTTGGCCAAGACCTCTGTTGAACTCCACTCAATATGTTCTTGTTTCCTGATGGGAGTTGTGGGTAACTTACTGTCTATCTACAGGTAGTTTAGCTGAGTCTTGCAGGAACGCACTGTGACAGATACCTGTTTGCTGCTTCCCCTGCTTTTCTAAGACTTTTCCCCTGCTTTTGTAGTGTACTGCTGCAACAGGAAACTATGCTACTCTCAAAGTTTGTTCTTGGCAAGTCCATGTTGGCTGTTGCTCTTCTCTCCATTTTTTTTGCAGGAGGTCATGTATAGTTTATCTGTTCCAGGATGTTTCCAGGACTTGATACTGATGGATTTATAGTACCCTGGCTCTTCCTTCCTCCTGTTCCATCTCCCCTTTCTCTTTTAGACGGTAGATGCCATCTCTGCCTGATTCCAGACTTCTGTGCTCCTTGAGCTTTTAAAGATAACCACTAACGGCTCTGAGGTTTATTCAGCCAGCTCTCTAAGTAGTCTGGCACTATTGTTTTGTTTTTTTTTCTTCCCTTTATTTTTCTTTCTCTATTCTTTAAATGAAGATGGGTGCAGCAAGGCTTTAAACACTGCTGCTTCCTTGGAGTTGTCCACTCAAAGCTTGCTTTCTGCATTGAGGAGATGACCACACCTTTCCTTTCCTTTCCTATTTCTGCTAATGGACATTTTAGCAAAAAAAAAAAAAAAAAAAAAGAGCCCCATTAGCACACATTAGTTGTTGGCAGTAAAATACAAGCACCCAAAGCATGCTTTCTCTTTATTCGAAGGAAACAGAAGGGGGAGTTGTGCTGACTGAAAAAATAAAACACAAAAAAACCCTCTCTCAAGTAAATTTGTTATATCTATGTATCTAGTAAGTGAATATATAGTAGGTAAATCTCTGAAATGCTACAGTTCTGGTGGTTCTAAAATCAGCTTCTGAAAGAGCACAGTTTTCAAAGAGTTTTGACCCCTTCTTTTAATTCTTCAAAGCAAGCGTAAGGAGGGAAATAAAAATCCTTAAATATGTTTCATTGCTTAGCTTTTTTAAAATATTAATTAGCTGTAGATTTAGGGGTTTTATTTTTTTTTCATGGTTAAGTGTTTTTTTTTTTAGCACAGTGGTGGTTTGGCTTAACTTCCAGCCTGTTCCCAAGTTGTAGCTTGTATGTTCTTGCAGCAACTGCTGCGGCATGGAATTCATTCCAGCCCCTCTAAAAAAGCAGTGATTGTTTGTGAAGTGAGATGGAATAGATCGTAATTGTGTTATACCCTGTGGTCTGCTCAAGCCTGTCACTGGGAAGCAGCCAAAGTCTAATTCTCTGCTTGCTTCCCATCCAGCTCAGGCAGGAAATGGTTTGTCTTTGTATCAAAGATGCTTCGGCTGTCTGCAGACCCTTAACTAGTTGTGGAGTAGAGCCTACAGCTTTGGTTTTTCAGTCTGGAAAGCTCAGACCTCTAGCACTGGAGCTGAAGAAGCCTCTCTGCTACCTGTCAGTAATTCTGCTTATCTTCTTTAGACATTTATTAGCCGCTTTCGTCGTATCATGGACTCCTCTCAGAACGCCTACAACGAAGACACGTCAGCGCTGGTGGCTCGGCTGGATGAACTGGAACGAGCCTTATTTCGAGCTGGCCAGAAAGGGCTGCATGACTTCCAGTGCTGGGAAAAGGGACAGGCTTCTCAACTCACAGCTTCCAGTCTCATCCAGAATTACGGGAAGAGGAAGTTCACAGATGCAGATCGTTAAAAGCAGCTGCGGTGGGGGACACCAAGGGATTTGCAGTCTCTCTGTCACAGGAGGGAAAGATGAGTGGCTTTGGAGAAGGACAGGCTTCATGTCCATTAATGGAAATTCTTCTTTAGAACACCTTCGGATGAGACCAGTGCAGATTTTAAAGGCAGACAGCTGGGGTATGAAAACCAGATCTCATCACATCACTGGATAGCTTTACAGTTTACTCATCCCACTCCTGAGGATTCACAGTTCAAATGTTTCATAGCTGGCTGAAACAGTGTGAGAGGATTTTCTAAAAGGGTAATTAATATTTATTATTCTTTATCTTCCAAATTGATACTTACAATACTGTGTCTGTTTGGATGAAAAGCGTGATGGTTTATATTTCATCTTGCCCCTCCCATTCCAGCCTTCACGGAACAGCTGTTGCCAGGTTCCACCTCCTTTACAGAGCCCAAATGATGTGGAAAAAAATGCTGTACAAGCTGCATTGAATTTTTCCCATTTCTTAAACACTGAGGTGGAACAGGTACTCTCCATGAGGCAGGAATGTTTTTCTTTGCTGTTTTTTGTACCCTCTTCAGAGAAATACCTCCTGTAACCCATGTAGCAAGCAAAATGGCCATGCGGTTCTCAGGTGCTGCCTTATCCCTTTTTCTCCCTTCCAGCCCTTGTAGGCTGGGGGTGGATGGGGAACATTCTTGTTTGATGCAAGGGGATTTTGTGGTGGATATGTGTTAAGCTCCTCTGCTTGTTTTCCAGAGGATACAACAGAAGACAATAAAGAGTTAGTCCAGACAAGATCAGAAGCAGCAACTTTAATGGGAACTCTCCCCCGTTACCAACTTAGGCTGATAATTATCAATTATTATTCTGAGCCATCTGTTTTCCCATGAGAAATTCTTCTGATTCCTAAGTTCAGTTAGTAGAAAGGACAGAACAAATCACCTTGAGTTTTCTTCCTTCTGATCCACCTAAGTGATCCTAGAAAAATGATCTTGGCAAATTTTCATTTGTGCCAGTAGGAGTGACTGAAGTTTGAAATTGCCAAACAGCACAGTGGTTATCATCCCATGTGGATGCCCTAAAACTTAGATTATCACATTAGACTGGAGACAGAAGGCAGATGGTTATCTCTATAAGGCTTAGTTCCAGTGGTCATCAGGATGTTCATCCTTTGGAAGCAGGTATTTGACATCTTACTGGTGCTTCTAAGCATCTGTAGAAGGTGGACCTTGCAGAGTACCTAAGTGGAGGAGCCATATCATAATGATACTGAGCACTTCCTCATCTGTGGGATTCACTGGGGCTTGACAGCAAGATCTAAATCTTGGAGGAGTTGTTACTGAACTTGCAGATGCACCTGGATATTAAATACTTCAAACGGGAAACCTCAAGTCCAGAGGGTGGGTGGCCATTCCTTGTCCAGAGGAGAGAAAGCTCTGCCTCTGGAGATGGTGAAAAGGAACAGGGTACTTGTCCACCTCAGCTGCACCAGCCAGCTCTCCTGCCTGACAAAGGATTTCAAGTACCTGCAAGATCAAATGGTGCTGCACTTAATGACTTAATGGCACATAATAGCCTCTGCATTTTCGTGAAGCCTTTGTCTATTGTCTATTTCTGGAATTTTGTGTGGAATAAATATTTTGTAATGTAAAATGTCTCTTGTTAATTGCCCCACAGCAGAAAAAATGAGTCAATAAGCTGTTGATTTTCTAAATTGCATATTTTTGTGGAACACGGGAGGGATGGAGGTGATTCTGTGTTCTTTGTAGAGTGGCGGGTCGTGGGTGGAGATTGGCTCTGTCTGTGTTTGTGCCCTGCTGCTCCATCTCAAAGCTGCTTCAGCTGCAAGGGAAGCAAGTTCAGGTCCATCTGTGAAGAGATACATGTTTGAATTGGAAGGATTATAATGAGATGGTGGCTTTGTGATCTAGTTGGTTTATAACCATAATCAGTAACTAATTCATCGGTTTCTGGACTGTTTTGGTGACTATCCCACTCATTTTCTTACATTTGTAAGAATATTTTTCTTCTCTACTGCCGAGTGCAAAATCCAAGCAAGTGGTCACTCACTTGCTATGATTTTGTGCAGCTACTTTTAGAGTGAGGAGAAGAAAAATCTGAAGTAATCCTCAGTGCCACTGTCTTTTTATAAGTAGAGAATGTCCCTTATATTAACCCTGAATGTTTAGGAATAAATGCCAGTTAGACCCTTCCAAAATCTGATCCTGTAATTTTAAATTGCAGTATTGGGTTAGTAGATTTGATCCTCTTATTATTTTTTATTTTGTCTTTTCATTGCTGTCTGGATTTATTTTTTTTTCTGTCCCGAAATCCAAGAAAAGAGTGTTATATACTTTTTATGAACACAAACTGTCCTTTATGATTGCATCACATCAAGCTATATGTTAGAGGAATTTGAACTCATGTATTTTCAGAATGACACAATAAATTGTCATTGCAGAACTATACAAAGGGGGTCTGAAAATGACTTTTAGGTGTCATTTATTCCCAGGTCCCTCAGCTTTTAAACTGTGGGACTTCTGATGTTTATGAGAAAGCAGTCTATAGACACATTTTACAGTATTGCCACAATGGTTTTCATTGCAATCAGACAAAAAATGGGCAAAATTTGAGATGCTGATCAGTCACTCCTTCACATAAGAACATATGTTTGTGTTTTAATGGCCTGTTTTTGAAGAGGTCCCAGCCCTTCCCCTGAAGCACGGAGCTGCCTTCAGTGCTCCTTATGGGCTCCTTTCGGTTTTTGATGTTCTATTTTATAATTCTGTCTAACCCATCTCAGGATAGTGTTTGTCCAGCCAGACCTTTAGAAGGTACCTCTGCAGCAGAACCCACAGCCTCCCTAGGTTGTCTGCAATGGATAATGAACAAAATTGGAGCTGGGCATTCACTGACACGGCAGAAGACATGGTCAGTCGAGCTTCCTGGCACTGAACTCTTGTTGGAATGGTTAGTGAAACTGAAAATTTCTTCTCACCTAAGTTTTACATTAACTTTTCATAAAACTTTCAGCTCCTCTTGTTTATCTCTTCTGTGATTTTCTTTTTTTTTCAAGCAGGTGAGGCAGCTGTGGAGGGTTGACCCCCAGTTAATTACAAATAACTCTGCAGCCAGCACTGACACTTTCTCACCTATCTAAATTATCCTTTCACAAAACGTTTGTTTCTTGCCTGGTCTCCTCTGCTCCAAACAATGTCCTCATTTGTGTTTTGGCATTGATTTGTTTTTGGTCAACAGACTGAAGCAGTTGATTGCTTCTGCCAGCCTGGAAAGTAAGACCACATATTATTTTTATGAGATAAACTTTAGCACTTGAGTTATAAGCCCAAACTTCTCTGATCTTGATCAATGATTTTTTTTTCTACGCATTTTTTTGGTGACCAGCTATTACAGGAGCTTCATTCAAAATTTTAAATGAACCAGCTACTTAACAAAGATGGGCTACAGTCAGTAGAATCACAGCGTGAATGCTTTCTGCACCCAGCTGATTTTGTACCCAGATGTGCTTTTTATAAACCATATTGTCTGGTAGCACAGCATATGGCTTGAGAGTTTGTGGTTTTACTTTTAAAAACTTAACTATTCATCCACCCTTGCCTCTGCCTGGCAGGAGATAACTCAAAGCTGTTCCTTGCCTCAGTTTGCTTTTCTGATGAAGGAAAGTATCATTCCCTTGTTTTAGAGTGTGTTTTGTCCTCTGGTTTGTTGGCAGCATCTTTGTTACAAGCAAGTGCACCAGAATGATTTTTCCCAGCTCTGTTGAATCTGCCAGAGCTCAGATGCTTACTTGGTAAGTGCTTGTCAGAGCTGAGAGATTCCCCTTTTCAGAAATCACTCTGGTTTCTTTGGTCAGTGCCATTTAAACCCTTACTGCTGAGCTTCTTCAAGACTGGCACATAGCTGGTAACTTAATAGAAGTGCTTTTAGAATCATAGAATCATAGAATCCTTTAGGTTGGAAGGGACCTTCACGATCATCAAGTCCAACCATTGAGCCAATAGGGCTCTAAAGTCCTCTGCTAAAACAGATCAGAATCTGTCAGGGTTGGACAGGAACACAAGGATCCCCCAGTTACAACCCCTCTGCCATGAGCAGGGACACCTCCCACTAGATCAGGCTGCCCAGAGCCTCATCCAGCCTGGCCTTAAAGACCCCCAGGGATGGGGCCTCAACCACCTCCCTGGGCAACCCATTCCAGGGTCTCACCACTCTCATGCTGCACTCCCCACCCTTCTCTCCTAGCTGAAGAGCCACTTTGGGCTGCAGAGAGTGGCTGAACTTGCCGTGCTAAACTCATGTTTCTCCTGTTTTCCTGAGCTTACCTGCCCAGAAGTGCTTTCACTAAATGGCAAGCAGGTCTGTTGGTGGGACTTCACACCAAAACTGGTGGAAGGGTGACAGGTTGCCCTGGTTTCATCATGCCACATGAGTGAGTGGGGAAGGCCATGTATGCTGCCAGCTTACATCTGATGGTTTTGCTTTGCAAGACTGGCTTTTGGGAGATGAACTCAAGTGTAATGTGCTTCTCTGTGTTTTATGTTGATGAGGCAATGGGATTCGAGTCTGGGGCAGGCATATGCTGCTTTTGAAAGAAGATGTGCTAGTTTGGGCTTCCCTTGAACATGTCTCCTGGGTGAAGACCATCTGACTACTTGCCTTGAGTTGTATCTTCTACTGCAAGTGTAGAACTGACTGAGACCTGCTTCTTGCATCTAGGCCCAGGGTGCTATTGGGTGTGGGAACAGACTGATGACCTTTGTTCTGAAACTAAATGTGGCACGGTGTCACCAGGACTGTGAGGATTGTGTGAACCCATTAATGTCATGTACACGTTGCTGTGGAGGGGACACCAACATGCTGTGGCTGGGCAGAAGGTGAACATACATGCTGCAAGTGTGTTGAGTTTTTGTAGAGTTTATCGTGTCCTCTGACCCTATGTACACAAATCAGTCTGAGCTCTTCAACACTAAGATACTTCTGCAATT